AAAAAAAAAGAATTCTTGAGATCTCCTCATTAACTGGTAATTGCTGTTAGTGGCACTAGTATGTAAATCTAAAACTACATTGCCTGTATTTAAGGATAAAGCAAATGAGTGAATATACTCATTTTATTGGGAACCAAGGTTATCATTGTGGAAGAAGGGAGATATAAAAACTGATGTTAGGGAAAGGAAGAAAAGAATAAATACAGAGTCCCAAAATATTCCCCTTTGTTTTATTTATTAGTTACAATGTGAGGAAATGATAACTTTTTTTTTTTTTATGGAGAAACTGACAGACACTCCCTTAATCAAGAGATGAAAGTCAAGATCACCCATATTGAGACAAATGATATCATGGGCCTTCTGAAAAGAACACAATGTCACTTCTGTGGCATTTCTACCAAAAAATGCATAACCTGCCTCTACTAATAAGGAAACATCAGACATACTCAAGTGAAAGAACATTGTATAAAACAACTGCCCTGCATTCTTCAAAAATATCATTGTCATGAAACACAAAGAGGAGTGGGAAATTGCACCAGATTTTTAAAAAAAGGATAAAAAGACATGATAATTAAATGCAATTTATGATCCTATATGAGATCCTGGCTAAGGGGGAAAAATTGAACAATTTAAATACTGACAGTATATTGCATAACAAAATTCCTGTTAAATTTTCTCTACTCATAAATGAACTATACTATGACTATAGAAAATAGTGTCCTGGTTCTTAAGTTATGCACACTAAAATACCCGGGGGTGAAGGGGCATGCTATTTTCGTCTTACTCTTGAGTGATTCTAACTATGTTAATAAAACAGCGTGCACATATATGTCCACATATATGCCTATGTACTTTCATATGAACATACATGGAGAGTATGTGTACTAAGGGAAGTATGAGGAAAGGTTAACATTGAGTGAATCTGAGATTTTTAAAATGTAGGCCACAGGAATCTGAGAGTCTGATATGGAATCAGATTTGAACTTAAGGTCTTCAGTTTAAGAAGAAAGTGGCTTACTGATTCAAAGTATTTTGTGTGGTAAAGAGTTGGTACCAGGGATTGAATTTTAGGGTGTTTTACCACTGAGCTACATCCCCAGCCCTTTTTATTTTTTATTTTGAGACAAAGTCTTTCTAAGTTGCTTATAGCCTCCCTAAGTTGCTGAGGCTGCCCTAGAACTTGTGATCCTCCTCAGTCACTGGAATTATGATGTGTACTCCATGCTTACTGTGTGGTATACAGAGTTTGGGAAGCTACCTACCAAAACCAGAGGAGCCAAATCTCTGATGGATTAAACCAGATATGGTGTAGAAACTGCTTTAGGAGATTGGTCAAGGACATGCAGGAAAAAATTAAAGTAAAAAAAATAAAACATATTGATCTATTTTAAAGCTTCCAAGAGATATAACTTCAAACTCACTAGATGGGCAATCATTAAAAAAATCTTCCAATTCAAAGGTTGAGGAAATGGAAACTCTCACCCACTGCTGGTATAAAATAGACAATTGGTTCAACCATTTTGGAGAATAACATGGTTATGAATCAGTCTGAATCAGTAATCACACAGTCATTTGAACAGGGAAAGTTCAATATCAAGGATGACTAGTTCTAGCAAAAGATTAAAGTAACAAGGGATGCGTAGTAAGAAGTGAACTCTGAAGAATACAGGAATATCAGCTATTAGGAGTAGCTACTATCTTTGTGACTGAGTCTGATGCCCCAAGAAGAGCTTCCTGCTTCTCACAGCTGAGATCCTGGCCCCATTGGAGCAGGAATGGAGAGGCTGATGATGGCTGAGAGCTCATTGTGACATCACACCAGTATAACTGGTGGGAAATTCACCCTCTGGAACTGGTTGGAAACCCACCAGCAAGTGGGGGCTGCTGAGGAAAATGGTTCACAGTGTCTCACCAGAAGCATTCTGTGGCACAATCACCTGAGGGGCCTTCCAGAGGTGGTTGCTGGCCCCCAGGTGCCACTACCTGCTGTGCCCAGAGGAGCCTGATGCTGAAAGCTGTGTCTGCTTCGCTAGCTAGGAGCCAGGAAGCTGCCCACACTGTAGGAGCACAAGCTGGCACACAGGTAGCAGAAATCAAAACCCTTTTCTCCTCTGATGCCTCTCCGTCGCCCTCTACTGCAATAGCTTAACATCGTACCAGCTGGCCAGAGAAAAGAAATCAGAGGGACCAGGTCCATTTTCGGGGAGCTGGCAAAAAGTATGAATTTGAAGTAACAATAAATAAACCAGCTTGGGTTGTATGTTAAAAAGTTCCAGATACATATACCCTACCATCGGGAGACAGTTTTCCAGAAAGGAATGCCCTCAACTGTCTCCTGGGTCGAAGTAGCAGGAACTACTGGACAGTCTATGTTTGGCACCACCGTTGGAGAAACTGTCTTCATAAATCCTTAGGTCACATCACCCAACAGCCAAATTCCTTGGAGAGAATCCACAATTGGCCTATCTTGGGTCTTGTCCCTAACCTTTGGTTGGGACAATATCATGATTCATGGCTTCACTATGATTGTAAGGCCAGGATCTCAGCTGTGAGAAGCAGGAAGCTCTTCTTTGGGCATCAGACTCAGTCACTCACAAAGATAGTAGCTACTCCTAATAGCTGATATTCCTGTATTCTTCAGAGTTCACTTCTTACTACGCATCCCTTGTTACTTTAATCTTTTGCTAGAACTAGTCATCCTTGATATTGAACTTTCCCTGTTCAAATGACTGTGTGATTACTGATTCAGACTGATTCATAACCATGTTATTCTCCAAAAGGGTTGAACCAATTGTCTATTTTATACCAGCAATTGGTGAGAGTTTCCATTTCCTCAACCTTTGAATTGGAAGATTTTTAATGAGGAATTTCCCTTTGCCATCTCCCCCAAAAGAAGGTGTATTTATGGGAAAGTATAATAGATTCCAGGCATAGAGGACCAGCTGATGTCTTCTAGGGCCTGCCAACCATAGCCTATGGGTCCAATCTGGCTGACCACATGTTTGTACTCCAGTTGCTGAAGTGGCTACAAAAAAATAAATGACCATACAGACCATTAGCACTTTATATCTATTTACAAAAATCCTTGTATATGTGCTCAGTGTGACTTGACAGTGCTATGTTAATGACTGTAAATGGTCTAAGATCTTATCACACCTGAAAGCTAACAAGTTAGTAAACCACAGTTCCACAAATAACTTTCAGAAGACCAAAGACTCCTAGGTCAGAGGTGAAAAATTTTCTTACCACACACCAAGCAACATGAATACCAGTATATTTACTGTCAGTTCCCCTGCCTCCATATCCTTCACAGTTTTGTCCAGACAAATCCCTGCATATGCCATAGGTTATGTTCAGGAAAGGAACCCTGAGACCAGGAACTCAAACTTTATATGATGGGCAGAACTCCCCTTTGCTCCAGAGGGAAATAATATCTCTGTCTTCCAAGATTATTTACTATACCAATATCCTAGAAAAGATAGTTGGAAATAAAAGGAATCGGTGCCTCTACTTGAATATGGATAAAGCCACAAGAGATCCAGACTGTTGTCTCCCAATATTACTTGGATCTGAATCATAATAATAGATTTTTCTAAGGCTTGTATATATTATCTACTTATATGTGAAATCCCATCTCTTTTTGCCTACTCCTGGACTCCTTTGCTGAAATTCGTTTTCTGTATTGGATCATCCATAGCATCGTCAACCACAACTAAATACTCTAATAATTCCCATAATTTTAAAAAGTGCAAAAAGTAAAAAAGTTCTTGACTTTGCATCTCCTCCCAGTATCTGACCCAAAGTCACCAATATTATCTCTTTCCTCAGTCTCATCTTCTTCACTTTCCATTAATCTACTCCAGTTAGTGTGTCTATTTCTCCACTGAACGTTTCCTGTCAATGCCATTAGTGACCTTCACAATGCTTAATCTAACATCAGTTCTCAGGCGGCACCTTGATTGATTTCTCAGTTACATTTGGCACCGTTCATAGGTTCTCCTTCTGAAATATTTTCTTCACTTGGCTTCCAAATCTTCCTGATTTCCCCCAATTTACTGGCTGCCTCCTTTTTTTTTTTTTCACTCTCCTTTACCCACTTCCATAGTGATCTCATTCTTTCTGATGACTACATACCATCAACACTCTGATGATTCCTAAATATATTTTTTCCAGCCTAAGCTTCTACCCTGAGCAAAGAGTCATAAATATGATGATATATTCACCTTTTCTTCTTAGATGCTTAAATTTTAAAAGTCTAAAATAAAATTCTTTTTTTTTTGAAAGAGAGAGAGAGAGAACTTTTTTAATATTTATTTTTTAGTTTTCGGCAGACACAACATCTTTGTTTGTATGTGGTGCTGAGGATCAAACCCGGGCTGCATAAGCATGCCAGGCAAGCGCACTACCACTTGAGCCACATCCCCAGCCCCCCAAATAAAATTATTAATCTATCGATTCCTTCCCTCACACCCTGCATAGATCCTGATCCTCCTAAAGTCTCGCCTACTTCAATCAAGGGTATCACCATTTAACCTTGGTGCCATCTTGATTCTTTTTTTTTTCACACTCCCATATACAACTTCAGTAATGCCTATGAATTCTGCCTCCAAAATGTATTCAAACTCCAATCACCATCTCCACCACTAATGTTCTAGTACAAGCTGCTCTCATGTCTTCTGGGGATTCTTTTTTTCTTATTTACTTATTTTTAAGTGGTGCTGAGGATTGAACCCAGGGCCTCACACATGTGAGGAAAGTGCTCTATCACTGAGCTACAACCTCAGCCCTTCTGGGAATTCTTATAAGAGTCTCGTAACTTGCAACCTACTTTATTTTTTACGCAGTATTCATTGTTAGAGACTTCTTTGTGACTTCATATCCTGACCAAGAACATAATCCAAAGCTCTTGCCTTAGCCTCCCAGGTCTCCTATAACGAGTATCCTGACCATTACCTCTCTGACTCCAACTCCTACACTTCGGCCCTTTACTCACTGGGCTCAAGCCACAGAAAACCCTTTTCTATTTCTCAAATATCTCACACTTGCTCTCTCTGCAGAAGCTTTGCTTTTGTAGGTTCTCACGTGTGGAAAATTTCTCCCCTAGAAATCTTCATGCTCGCTTTCTCAATTCCTTTAGGTTTCTGCTCAAATCTCTCCTGAGTAGAAAGACCTTTTTTGAACACCACATCCCAAAACAGCACAATGTGCTTATTAGTCGCTCTCTCATTATCTGTTTTATTTTCCTTTATCGCATTTAGCACTGACATTATATAGCTACCGAATTTCAACGACTCTGAGATGTTATGAGCTGAAATATGTGCTATTATTTTATATAGTCATGGAGAAAGACAAAGTTGACATTGTCTTTCTTATCACTTACAACTTTTATTTTATACTCATTGAAAGAGCTCTTTTATACTTAGACATGGTGTTTAAAAACTCATATATCCTTCACACACAAAAAGGACAACAAATCAATTTATACTTTTACATTTAGAGTTTTATCTTCTGATTCATTCTTCAACTTGTAGTTGTCAAAGTCAGTGTTTTCCCACATAATATCTAGATAATAAAATGCAACACGACTTCATATACTTTGGGGTACCCTCCTTTCTTAGGACCTGTGAAGCAAGAAATATGGAATTATGGTATTCTTCAAATAATGATACTTGTTTTTTCCTCATATCAAATTTATGTCTGATTGTTCAATTTCTGAGCCTGGCTGGTGTGCATAATAACTTTTCTTTTTCAGCCATATAAAAATACCATCTTTTGAAGATACTTGAAATAGTATTTGAACTCTACACATGTGGTACCAACATGCATATAATTTGTTTACAGTTATAAGCAGCTCTGATAAGTTCCCACAGGAAAATGACTGATGTCAGGACAAATATATTTATAAGATGCCAGTGATAACTAGTTGCATTCCCTTTTTCAGAGATCAGAAAATATGAAGAAATGCATGTTTTTGAGTCAGTTCAATATAATATGTGATTATTGTTTGCCTCTTCCACCAGAACATGATGAGCTCTAGGAGGGCAGGAAATTGACTTGATTTTTTTTTTTCATTGGCTATTTCTTTTTATTATTTGACTGGTTAGGTTCACTAGCTATTTCTCATCATCTAGAAGTGCATTTGGAAAAGACTTCATAAATGTACAAAGTTCCATAAGTGTTTGTTGAATGAGTGAATGGATGAATTTCTGCCCTCCATTACTAATGTTTGACTCTCTATTACTTTGTATTTAAAACCCCAAGACAGGTGTGGGGGTGTAGTTCAGTGCTGTATCACTTGCTTAGCATGCAGGAAGCCAAGGGTTTGATACTCACAACAACAAAAAAAAAATTAAAAGAAACAAAATTCCCAGCACAGAGGATCTAACTGGCTTACTTGGCCACCATCTAGTATATGGTGGCCGTGCTGGACGGCTATTCACATACCGATGAAGAAACATCTTGACAGCCAGTTTTGACGTAGTTGGCCATCGTTGACATTGGCACTCACCTCAGAACCTTGCCTGCAGTAATTACGGCTTCTGGAGAAACCTAGAAAAAGACAAGTTCAGATCTCAGAACTATGTGAGGTTTTATTACAACTGTGAAGCCTTCAAAGGGGCCATGGACAAGGCAAACATTTCAAGGTGGCAAAGAAAGTGCAGAGGAAGGAAGGAAATTTGCCTGGTCTGACTAATAACCATTTGTTTTTTCATTTAATCCCTACTACAGCCTTCTGAGATAAAAATCCTTTTCAACATTTAGAGATAAGAAAATTAAACCAAGAAAATGAATAGGTCTCTTATTCAATACCATACAATGGCAGACTTTTAAGGGAGACTTTGTGTATTTCTACTAGACTATGCACTTTCCATGTTCCAAGCACTGGGTTAGACTGTTCTATGTGAATAAAAGCAATCATAGACCCTAAGACCATGCAACTTGAGCCCACTGAATTTAGAGACATTGATTAATGTAATCTTAGCCCATGTACACAGCATGCACTAAACATCTTAGTTCTCACTCTGCTTAATTCTATCCTACTCTGCTTACTTACTTTGGTGCCTCTTTTCCTGACTACACACA